TGCCGCTATACAATTTATGAGAGTGTTGTTGTGGACTGTATTTTTTGGGATTACTGGCACCTGTCAACAGCTCGATTATGTCTATTTTCAGGTTGGTTGGATTCTCGTAAATTTATACACTGACCACTAATATGAATTTTAGAACACTTTTATTAAACAAACAACTTCAACTGGTAACAACAACTTTACACTTAACTTATTATCTAAATAGAGATTAAGAGATAATAGAAATTAATTCGAGCTCAATCGAGTAGTAAATTTTAGCTCTTTCGGTGTTTTTGATAAACCGACCCGAAAGGCATAAGAGAGAGAGTATAACAAAAATTATATTTTTTGGGGCATCTGCACCCTGTGAGCGAATCGTGGGAACTGTCCTTTTAGGAAATTTAGAAAGCGTAGGGTATTGTCCAGTGGGTACCATCTTATGACCACCATCTGGAGCGATAAGATGGTTTACAACACCCTAAACGTATTTTCTAAAGAAATATGTATTTTCTGTTTCAAAGATATTTTGGAACATAGTCCCCCCCTTGAGGCGACTGCCACAATATAAAGAAAACAAATTATTCTAGGTGAGTTTGACAACCTGGAAGTGGGCAAATCTTTGCAGTTGAACGCGTAAATATTCCTTCCTGCGTTTTTACTTTAACCACCCTAACAAGCTTCTCTTTACCGGGAAATACTTCAACTATTCGGGCCAATGGCCATTTAAAGGAGGTGTAAGTTCATCTTTCAACAGTACAAGGTCATTGACTTGAATATTTCTAGATTTATTGAACCATTTTGGTCTGTTTTGCAAGCGGTTAAGGTAGTCAGTGGTCCAGCGCTTCCAAAGTTGTTGCTGAATTTGTGAATATTTTTGGTATAAGGTGAGTCTGTTCTGGGAAATACTGGATAAATCCCTTTCAGGGTAAGATGTCAAACTTGAACCGATGAGGAAATGACCCGGAGTGAGACAGGTAAAATCAGAAGGGTCATTTGACAGTTCACAAATTGGTCTAGAGTTCAGTACTGCCTCAATTTGAGCCAGTACTGTACTAAGTTCTTCAAAGGTAAAGTTTGAGTTACCCAGTACACGTATGAGATGGTATTTAGCGCTCTTAATTGCAGCCTCCCATATTCCACCGTGGTGAGGTGATCGAGCGGGGATAAATTTAAATTGGATCTGATTTGTAGCAGCAAAGGTTTTAATTTGCGACGAGGTGCCTTTTTGTTGAAAAAAATTATGCAATTCTTTAAGTTGATTTCTGGCTCCCAAAAAGTTCGTTGCATTGTCACAAAAAATGGTATGAGGATTTCCCCTACGGGCTATAAATCGTTTGAGGGTGCATAGAAAAGCATCTGAAGTCAGACTAGAAACAAGTTCTATATGTACAGCACGAGTAACCATACACACAAATATTGCCATATAACATTTCATAAGTGGAGCATGTTTCAATTTAGAAGTTTTGATTTGATAAGGTCCACCAAAATCTATACCCACATTTGTGAATGGTCGAGCGACTTGAAGTCTTTCTTTGGGAAGATCTGCCATTAACTGAGAAACTGGTCGAGCTCTAAATCTGTAGCAGATGTGACAATTGTGGATGATTCGTTTTACTTCTCTAAGACCATCTAATGGCCAGAAACGCAGTCTAATGTTAGATAGTGTATTTTGAGGGCCAGCATGTAAAAGCCTTAAGTGTTCTTTTTTAAGCAATAATTGTACTACGTGATTCTTTGATGGCAAAAGGCTTGGAAATTTTTGTTCGTAAGAGACATTTGCATTGGAGAGTCTTCCACCGACTCTTAAGATATGAGAACTATCAATGAATGGATTCAACCTTTGAATTTGCTTGTTAGAGAGTACCTTATTTTGCTTTAGATCAGTAATTTCGCGTTTAAAATATTTTGATTGAAGAATTTGAATTATTTTATGTTCTGAAATTTGCAATTCAGAGGCAGAGAGAGGACCAAAACGTTTTTCTAGATTTTTGTGAGTATTGTTAATGAATCTTAGAATATATGCAATTACTCTTTGCAATTGAGTATAACTTGAAAATCTTTCAAAAACTTCATTAAAACTATTCTGGGGAGTTGGGAAATATGCACTGTTTTTCTTTGTTCTGGAGGGTTCGTAATTTTAAGTCTGAAATCAAAATTCTTTAAATTTATGTTTGAATCTTGGAGAAATGTTGGGCCATGCCACCAGAGAGTAGAGTCCAAAAGAGAAGAGGGAGATACACCTCGAGAGAGAATATCAGCTGGGTTTTCTTTAGTCTTCACATGCCTCCAAGTGAAATTTGAAGTGTGTTCGTGAATTTGAGCTACTCTGTTAGACACGAACGTAGACCAACGCGATGGATGAGACTTTAGCCATGACAGAACTATTTCAGAGTCACTCCATAAATTTATACATTCTATTTGTGGCATAGTTGTTTCTAAAATTGAAATAACCTTGGACGTAAGATTGGAGAGAAGTACTGCGCCCATGAGTTCCAATTTAGGAAGAGTGATTACCTTAAGTGGAGCTACACGGCTCTTAGAAGAGATTAGATTGCAAGAAACTGAATTATCCTGATGAATGACACGCAAATACAAACAAGCTGCATAAGCCTTCGGACTTGCATCGGAAAATCCGTGAAATTCAATTTTTTTTATGTCATGTGGAAAGTACAAAGCTCTGGGAACTTGCAGTTTTGAAAGGGAATGGATGTCTTGAAGAAATGATGTCCATTCTGAGAGAATTTCTGAGTCAATAAATTCGTCCCAATCAATTTTTGATATCCATATTTTTTGCATTATTATCTTAGCCTTAACAACTATAGGATTAACTAAACCAATGGGATCATAAAACGATGCTATTACCGAGAGAACTTCTCTTTTGGTGTATGAATCTTTGAGTGTTAGATTTGGAATACATATAGAAAATTTGTCAGAATGAGAATTCCAACGCAAACCTAGAATTTTATTAGAAGGAATTTCAGGATTAACAATATAGTTTGTTTCTTGAGAAATTTTTGAGATGGTTTTTAACAACTCTGAAGAATTTGAACTCCATTTGTGTAATGAGATACAAGCAGAGTTTAGACATTCAGAAATTTGTTTATGCGCTTCTACAAGAGTTTCATAGTTATTACAACCATAAAGAATATCATCTACATAACATGAGTTTAGAAGAGCATCACTCGCTAGTGGAAATGTATCCTTTGATTGATTGGCTAACTCTGTGAGGCATCTGGTACTCAGAAATGGAGCTGAAGTGGTACCATACGTAACAGTTTGAAGTTCTATACACTTCAGTTCATCTTGTGGTGAATCTCACCAAAGAATGTTCATAAGAAAAGTTTGAGATGGATTTATTCTTATTTGTCGAAACATTTTTTGAATATCAGCTACGAGGACATACTGAAAACTTCTAAATCTCAGAAGTATATTGAAGAGTTCAGATTGAACAGTGTAACCCTTAAGCATTATATCATTTAGAGAGATACCTGTTGTAGTTTTCATCGACCCATCAAATACTACTCTCAGTTTTGTTGTTAGACTTTCTTCTCTGGTGACACAGTGGTGGGGTAGAAAAATTTATTTTCATTCAAATTATTGGTGAGTGAAAGAGGTACATATTTTGCGTGATCTAGAGAAAGATATTCGTAAATAAAATCTCTGTACTGAGATCTAAGACTGCTGCCACGTCTAATGGATGCTGCCACGTCTAACATTTAATCATTATATTATAAATACACCGACATATACATAATATAGAACTACATAATGAGCACCTTTAAATTAATATTTATAAATAAAAATCCATAACAGTTTCCATAGCAGACGATATATTTATAATAATAGAGAAACATGATTAAATCTCATTTTAATCAAGATTTTACATTGCTTTTTGTTTCATCTATTCTTGTACATAAAATAATAGATATTAGATATTATAACAGAGTAAGTAAATCAACAAGTAGCGACAGTCCCATTTTCAATTTTCTTTGCAGCTGCGCGAAATAAGTATAGGGAAATTGGAACAACTTTCGTTGCACGTCATCAATGACACCATGTATCGTCTTATGGAGTTTGCTGGTGGTCGTATTATGATGTGCAACGAAAGTTATTTTAATTTCCCTATTGGTTATCTGTCATATGAAGAAGCGAAGTTGCCACTGTTGCCATTTATCAAATATCTCTATGTACTTTATTTCAAGTATACCTCAGGCAACGAATCGTTTTTTTAATTATTTATTAGCTGTAAGATATTTTATACATTCAAATTTAGAAATAAGGATAAAACAAAACAAAAAAAATATGTATAAAACTTTATAATTAATTCCACTTCAAATTATGAGCAGTGTATACCATGTTTATAGGACCACTTCATAAGTTGAGCAGTTAAATACGTAGTCTATCTGTCAAACACGTCAAAAGAGAGAGAGAGAAAATTTGGTCCCACCACATCAAAAGAGCCGACGGTTTCTGTCGCTACTCGGCGATCTACTTACTCTGATTATAATATCTATTATTTAATATTTATAATAATTAATACTATTTATTTTTGTTGTATATTCTATGTTTAACACGAATAAATTTTCAATACATAAACGCGGATTTTTCATCCAAAGATATTTTCGTCAAACGTATTACTGATATTACACATTTTAATATGGCAACACTGTCGCTTTCAGCTCCGCACGGTCTTTAAAATGCCTTCGCTAGCAGAATTAGAGAAAATAAGTGTTTTATGCGTTGACCGCAGAGCGATTGTGGTGTCGCCACCATACAACACTTGAGACGTAAGGGGAAATCAAATCAGCCTTGTTACGAATTTGCTCATTAGGTTGCGCATCTTCCCAATTCTTTCAATCAACGCTATTATCTATAAATAATTCTTTACAAAAATATATATTTGTTAAGTATAATAAATCAGTTGCCCCTGAAGGCCGTAATAGGCGGCACCGGGGACTAGAGTCCGCGAGGGGACCTTTCTCAAAATGCTTGAGTACAGCTTAATTTTTTTTCAGGCCCACATACTCAAGTAATATTGCAGTGATCAGGGAAGTATATGACGGACATGATTCACATGAGTATTTTGCTATGGAATTGGAAAAATCTTTGGATAATGGATGTGCCATTATAGTAATAGAGCCTTCGCAATTAGGAGATGAAACAGCTCGATGGATTACAGTGGGAAATTGTTTACACAAAATTTCTGTTATTACGGGACTTTCTAGTATAGTGTGTGGTAAGAATTTATGAAACTAGTAGCTGTACTCAGCATGGGTTACAAATTGTGTTGATCTGCAATATTTATTGTTTTTTCTCTCATTTCTGTAGCTAGCTTTTTGATAAACCCTATAACTAAAAAAACAATGTTTAATCCTACAGCGATCTAAAACTATCAATAATTAACTTCAAAATTAGTAAGAAAACCGTAATTTTCATTACAATTTTTTTTCGAAACTACTTTCTTGGAGTTTTCTTAAAATCTTTTCCAGAATAACACAGCCATACAGAAAAATAAAAGTAGCCTATGCTTTTTACCAGACCATCATATCAGAATTACGTTATCACATCTCATTATTTTTCTAACCTGAAAAACTTGGTGAAAATCCGTAAAAATTCAGGAAAATGTAGTAGGAAAAAATTAAAAAAAATTCTATGTATAATACTATAACAATGAGTATAACCCAATGTAAATGGGCCTGATAAACTCAAAACACCCATCAGAATTGGGCTAGCATGTCTCATATTTTTACTAACCTCAAAAAACCTACCACAAGTCATGATTTTTGAAAATCGCACGGATCTTATCCAAAACCGCTATAGGCTATTTTTTGGGTGGCTGATCTGATGTTCCAAGTTTTTGGTTACTTCCTGTTTCACCGGAAATGACTACAACTTTTCATTTTTAAATGGCACCCTCTCTATATTTCTACATTATTCGATAGAAAATGACACATTGAAGAGAATGACTATCATATGTTAACTTTTGACATTTTCGCATATGGTATATTTGAAATTGTAACATGGCGGTTTATAACGACAATTTGATTCGAAATACCAAGTGTGTGGTACCAAATTATTCGTAAAAATATGCTTTTTCCAAATTGCTAATGAGCCACCCTTGTTCCATTTGAAAAAATTATGATATGATAAAAAATACGATTTGAGCATCTTTTAACCGGCCAGGACAAGACACAATAAACATTAGACGATCAAATCTATTTTTCCAAAGCTCCTTGATTAAAAATTAGTGTTTTTAACACAGCCCCGGCACTCTAGATTGAAATTTAAAATACGATTTTTTTATAAGCGAAAATGTCAAAAGTTGACACATGATATGTCATTCTACTCAGAATGTCATTTTCTATCGAATTAAGGTGAAATATACCGAGGGTGCCATTTTTAAAATTAAAAGATGTAGTCATTTCCGGTAAAACACGAAGTGACCAAAAACAATTGAATACGTCATCCTAATTTATGCTATATACTAACATACCAAATACCGTTTTTTTATCTGAAAAAAAAATAAAAAAGTTATAGGGGTGTGAGCCACTTTCGAGACGCACCCGGTATATTGAGTAAAGGCCCGCCTATACGCGCGCTGTCACTATTCTCACTTCCATCAGCTGTTGACCGAGTGATTAATAAATATATTATTTTCACTATTATCTTGCAAAGTTTCAGTGTTCAGAAGTGACTTTCAGTGACATTTTTTTGACAGCGCGTTTGATGTAGCGCTGGAGCTTTGTGTCACCAAACTGTCTGACACATTTTCAGCCTTCAGAAAACAGTTTGCAGGTACCTATTAATTAAAATTACACCTTTGTGCGCTTCTCAGTGCCATGTGTTTCGGGCTGCGCATTTGCTTTTTTCGTACCTAGCATTCACAAAACTCTTGCATGTTTTTGTATCCGGCTCTCCGACTAACAATAAACTGCCCGTCAAATTAAATACCACAGCGATTTTTTTACTCATTTTCAACGAGTTGTAACTTTGAAAAAAATGGACCAATTTTGTTGATTTTTTTAGCATATTAAAGATCGTTTTTCGTAGATTGATCTGATTTTTCTAATTTTTGTATGAGATTTAGTTTTGTATGATATACAGGGTGTGAAAAAAAGGATTGTAATTTTTGTAATTTTTGTGTTGCTGCCATTTTGACAAAAAACAAAATTTAACTAAAATTATATGTCCTGGGTATAGCTAAGACTAATATCTCGGGGCGTATTTGAAATTTTTACGATAACTCATCTGGAATAAAAGATAATCAATTTTTACTCTAACTTGTATTTTTTTTACCTTTCTTAAGAGATATGCTAACAAAACTGAAATTAACTTTATTTTGATTTTAATTTAGTTATGGCAGAAGATGTTGATCTATCGAAGCAATGCAATGGAGTACAACTCAATTTGTAAAGAAAAGGATGTCTCGCCCAAAAATATTCTTTGACGAAATTGGCACTGGCATTTTGTGCCATTGTATCGGTTTTTTAATCGCGGTGCGATCCCTTTAGACACACATTTATTAATACTAATATTATTTTGTAAAACTTAATGGGGTCTAATAAAGAAATTTGAATTTGAATTTGAATTTGAATTTGAATTTGAATTTGAATTTGAATTTGAATTTGAATTTGAATTTGAATTTGAATTTGAATTTGAATTTGAATTTGAATTTGAATTTGAATTTGAATTTGAATTTGATTAAAACGATTGAAAAATGCTGTGTATGCCTGTAATCCTAATATGGCGAAAAAAGAGGCTCTTATAATTTATTTTTTCAGCCTACTCAACTGTAAAAAGTACTTAAAACATTGGGCGTTTTCCTAAAATTAGTTCTAGCAATGACCACTAATATGAATAAATTTAGTTTTCGTCTATTGAAACTTATGGCGGGTTTATACAACATAATCGTAATCATAATCACAATTTTAGTCATAATCATAAAAGTTAAAACCATTATTTTAGATACGACCGTTTATACATCGCAGTCGTAATCATAAGCATAATTTAATAACCTTGAAGTTCGTAAATTTTAGTGATTAAGACAAAAATCGGTTAGGGGGCATTTTTTTTTCATTTTTATGTTTAATAATTATGATAATTTTCGTGTTTAAAAAACCTGAGTAATAAAATTTAAACAAAAATACACTTTTAAAACGATTATGAAATAGAAAAATAAGAAAATTAGGTTACTTTATCAGCTGTATTTACATTCCAAGTTATGAATGCGACTATGTTGTATAAACGCATATTAAAATTGTGATTGTGACTGTGCTTATGCTTAAGACAAAAATTATGATTATGATTACCACTATGTTGTAGCCCATTAAAATTTCTGTGAATTTATAAACATTTAGAATGTGGGTATGGTAGGAAGTGGCAACATTGCATTCTTTCCGAGATTCTCTCTATGCAGGGTAAACGAATTTCCGGAAAGTGAACAGTGGCACTCAAAAGTTTTTCAAAATTTTCCGGAAAATGTCAAGAAAAATGTAAAATTTTCAACATTTTTTTTTTTCAAAAAAAAACCTCATAGGCGTGTTTCTGGGGTTGAACTATACTACCAGTTAAAATATTTGCACTCATTTCTGGGACACCCTGTATATGTAAATCTGGACACCCTGTATATGTCACCCTGTATATGTAAGTCTGATTCATTCATCACTGACTCATCAACGCCCAGACCAGACCCTTAACCCTAGAAAGCTGAAATTTTGCACAGGGGTACCTTTTATGATGTTTACGTGAGATAGGAAAGGATTTTTTAAAATTCATCCCCTAAGGAGGTAAAAAGGGGGGTGGAATATTACAATATTTTTTATTTAAAAAACGGTCAAGTTTCCGAAAAAACGTATATTTTATATTCTTTTTTTACATTTTTTAAAATTTTTTAAAAATGTATACAGGGTGTTTCGAAAAATCTGGTCATTGATTAATCACGATCCTGCTTAAAAGCGCTTGACGTAAAAAGTTGATTTTTGGAAAACGGATTGACTTTAGGGTGTAGAGGTTCGATAAGAAGGGATTTTTCGAAACTCGAATTCTAAGGGGGTGAAACCACCCCTCAAATATTAGAATATTTTTTATTTAAAAACCGGTGAGTTTTTCGGAAAAACTCTTAAGCACGTATATTTTATTTTGTTGTTTTAAATATCATAAATATGGCTGTGTTTCATAAAATATGGCCATTGAGTAATCACGTTTCTGCTTAAACTGCTTGACGTTTAAAGCTGATTTTTGGCAAACGGATTAACTGTGGGATGTAGAGGTTAGCTAAGGAGGGGTTTCTCGAATCTCAAATTCCAAGAGGGCTTCAAATAATATTACAATATTTGTTATTTAAAAAACGGTTAGTTTTTCGGGAAAACGTTTGGACTTCTTTTACATATTGTGAAATTTTTAAAAAAATCATAGAAAGCTGCAAATTGTTGTTTATTTCCATAGAAACGCGTTCTTGACAAACTTAGAATAAAATAGCCCGCAGCTCTCAATCTATACTCATATATTGTTACGTTTTTCGTCGGTTCCGTGTGGATAGAAAGTCACTATTTATTTAACACTAATTAACAAAAACAATAACGATTAAAAGACTTAAAGAACTATTTGTAACTTATTTACAATTTATCTAATTATTTATCTAACAGAAATTTATTTTGAATTAGCGCGGCGATTGTAACTGTACGCGTCGATCGGTTATTTATCTCTATCTCCTTCAGGTTTCGGGCATCGGCTTATATATGAGAGAAACAGACAATCCAGACATATCTATCATAAATATATACTGTCATATTATATCATAAATTCTTAGCGGCGTTCTTCGAACGTCGCCGTCGGTGGGCGTATGAGTCATAGCCGAGTGGCCAAGCCTAAGGCCGAGTTCACACGGTACGGGTCCGCAACATTAGTATAGATTTTTAAATCGAAAAAACGAATGCAATTTGATGTAATAAAACAAGTAATAGTCAACTAAATTAGAGGTGGCAAAATTAAATAATAATTCACCACAATACATAAAACTCTAAGATTTAATCATCTGCTGATGATATTAACATGGTTAGCGAAATGCGCGACTAGTGCAAAAATAAAGTGTTTTGGTGTATTGTGGTAAATTAGTGTTTTATTTTGCTGTTGTAATACCAAAGGTTCCAACCCCAACTGTAATAAATTAGAGGGATTAAATTATTGAACATAATATTGCTAACGAGCCACATACTTCCATTCACGGACCCTGCAGTATTAGATCGGGAAATCCCCGAGCGAATGATGACAAAGTGATGGAAATACCGGTTCCACAAATGAGCCGCGTTACTTTCGCGACCGTTCCAGGGAAATACCGCTACAAAATATCGTGATTTTGTAAGTCCTCCATGATTCGAGGGGCCCCTTCGCTGTCTCAGGCTCGTGGCTCCCGTTATACTAAAGACGGCACCTACTACTCACCATCGGTTAGAAAGCCAGAATACAAGTTATGCTGTGCATTGGTTGTAATTTAAAATGTTTATTCAGTATAAATAAATAATGAAACCATTGAAATAACTAAAACGCTTAAAACGCTAAAATAATAATAATAATAACTTAAAAGCTAAAATAAATAAATTCAGGTTTATATTCATAATTATTGTAATCTTTAAAATTTTAAAAAAATAATAATTATTCGATATTTTAAACAAAGAAAATTACCTCTTGATTTAATTTCCGAAATAGAAAGTGCCATTGAGAATTACTAGTGCCTGATAATTAATAAAATTAAGTAAATATCAGCTTCTATTTATACTGTTTATACTTTGCGTATACGTATGGTTTGCATACTCCACCTACAAATTGCTTCATAACTACTGAACACATATTGGTCTTGTTTGCCAGTTGAATAAAAAAATACTTATTGAGATTTGGAGGCCCCCTAAAAGACGGGGCCCGGGGCGGACAGCCCCTTCCGCCCCCCTTAGTCCGCCACTGATTTTAATTAATATATTTAGATTTAGTAGAGTAGAAACTTACTTGTTTTATTGCATGAATGAGGTTTCATCTTGGCAAATAACATCTTTTTCTAATAACAGTTTTCTGAATCTTTAATGTTATTTAACTATTAGGTAGATTCCGTGGCGCTCATTTGAGCACAAACCTTACTCACCCTATAATGCTTTCCAGGCGAACAGCACCGTCGCCATAATGTATCAATAAAATTATATTTTATTTTATATATTACGTTGCGTTACAACCTAATATTCGGTGGATCCATTGATCCCATATTTGGCAGAGCGTAATAGTGGTGGGGTGCTTGCGCACTGCTAGGTGTAACGTACCACCATATGATTACATGCGTGACTTGTAAGCAATATAACGACATATATGAATGTGCTACAACATCTTGCCAGTCTAAAATTCGAAATAAATGTCATAAAATTTATACAGGGTCCGGCAATAGTGCGTCGGCTCATCTGTAACTCTATAATAAAAAACTTGGAATGTTGTTTAAGTGCAAACCTAAAGTATGTATTAGGAAGTATTTTAGGAAAATATTTTAACTTCTACAGGGCGGCTCTACAGAATCTACTCTATATTATTGCCTTTTTGGCTTTCTTTCTGATCACTTTACAGAATCCTAAGATATTATCAAATATGTGTCTGACTTTTTACTGGTTAAAACAAATATGCATAACCAACAAAAATGCTTTGTCGTCGTCGTCAGAATTAAAAACCCAAAGAAAAATCTATTTAAAAAGTTCTAAATACAACTCAGGGGGAATTAATTTTTATTATTACTACTTGTATATTTAAATACATTAAATCTGACTGTTTTTTTCAGGTTTTGTATGGCCACAAAATGTATTGATACAAGCACCTTTGGCAGTGTCTTCAGCATTATGCATGGGACTGTATACAGTATCTTGGCAATTTGATCATTGTGTTAAATATCAAGTAGAGAGGGATCCTCGCAAATTAGCTAGACTTCCTATACTCAGTGCTCTAACAGCAACATCTCCAGTTGTGCTTGTGCGTAAAGATGACACCCGAAGGAAAACTTTACATTGCACAATTTCTTTAGTCGCCACAATTTTATCTATTTACAGAATATTGTATGCTACAAAATAAATTGAAAAATAATAAATTATGATTTCTATGTTACTGTTTCATTTTATTTTCTTACTTTTTAAAAAGAACAGTTATCAACAGACAAATTCTGAACAGAATCAACTGTTATGTCTCCTTTCACCATTTACCACCACCATTTACTATCTACCAACTATACTCTCCCCAATAACTCACCATCGCTTACTACTAGATACGGTCATTGTCATTGTTTGAACCATAGCCTTAAAATAAAATATAGACTGAGCATCTCATTCATGAATAGCTTGCAAATACGGCCAGACAATGTCTTGTTATTGTTTTAGGTTCTAACGAGTGCGACACGAGCGATAGATTGGTAGGTCTGAGTCGGTAGTCAGTAGGTCTGAGAATAGGTAATAAAAAATAAACTTTATTAACTTTTAAATTAGTACGTAAAATTAACAACCGTTTCTTTAATAAAATGTCAATTATGTCTTGCGTTGTGCCTTGTTTTGAGAGTTACTTTCTTATTAACAGTTAAGAAGTTAAGTTAACATTATAAATATGTAATAAAAGTATACAAGTTACAGGCTATACCGGGTGCGTCTCAAAAGTGGTTAGTACAAGACACAAATTAGGATTGATTGTCGTATTCAATTGTTTTTGGTCACTTCCTGTTTCGCCGGAAATGACTACAACTTTTAATTTTTAAATGGCACCCTCTGTATTTTTTTACTTTATTCGATAGAAAATGACATTCTGAATCTAATGACATATAATATGTCAACTTTTAACATTCTTGCTTAATAAAAAATTGTATTTTAATATTCAATCTAGTGCCATGGCTATGTTATGCCGGGACTACACCAAACTGTGCAAAGTCGGCGGCTCTCGCCAACAAGCCAGCCGCCAACTCGCGCGACTCCTCTCTGCGGGTTCATGGATCCATGTTAATTTCTGTCGTCGGTATTTTTTCCCGGACCACACCAAACTGTGCAGAGCTGGCGGCCTGTGTCTCCGGCCAGAGTCGGCGAGTCAGATTGCTGAAATTATTAAAAAGATGGGATAACCAAAAGTTGGCGGCACGACCCGCGCGACTTTAAATCCTTTCAGCCACATGTCGGTAAAAATCAAAGGAATATCGAGCAACCGGCGATCAGTACTCCTTTTTAATTCAATTGTATAGTGATATTTTTTTAATTAAGCCAACGTACGGTTTCTTTTGAGAAATGGATGAGGAAGAAAAGACCTAAAACGTAAAGAGAGAGTATAGAACCGGAGTGGGAATGAAAAAATTAATATTGTTAGTTGAGCTTTACCATAAACTATGACGAATGTCCATAATCTCCATAATCTAATAACCATTTTAAAACAAGAGATCAGCACTTATACATGACAAAAAACACTGGCGACAGAAAGTTTCGTTTTTATTTTTGTGAAGAAAGGTTAGCGAATTTTGTTAATTTTGATTTTTATGCTAATTCTCTTTCATGTTGTTGTCTGCGAATAAAGATTTAATTTATTTTTTTAAATAAATTCCAGTAGCAAATAATTCAAGGGGATGGCCAAATAGCAGTAGGTAAAGCCATATGAAGAGCTCAGGAGAAAACGTGATAAGCGCCATCTTACTAATTTTACAGGAGAGCACTGGACATTTTTACTAGGCATATATCACAGGATTATTATTGCCCTAAGAAACTTATTGCCCTGCAGAGTTTATACCGAGTCCGGCAATAGTGTGTCGGGCATCTGTAGCTCCTAGAATAAAACACTTAAGAAGTATGTACTAGAATGTTTTTTCAGGAAAATGTTTTAACTTCTACAAGATGGCTCAAGAAAGTGTAAGCGGGTCGGGATAATTTTTTTTAAATGGAACACCCTGTATATTATTGCATTTTTGGCTTCCTTTTAGATCAGTTTACATAACCCTAAGATATGAGTAAATATACCGTAAAACGGGACTACTTTATAACTAGTAGTGTTACTTTATGACGGTAGCTCTCTAACTGCATTTTTTAAATTTACTAAAGTTCTCTGTAATACAAACAAAAACTCTAATATTTTGTTTTACAACTAGATCATATGACTCCATCTAGGAATAATTTTTAGAACTATAAGTTGAAGGTGGGTATTAGTTTGACAATTATTCTCAAACCATTAAAATCAGCTGTTTTCTTAAAACCTTCCAACTTTGTCTTTTGTCCTATTATTGAGTGCATTTATTGCAAAAATTGTTTCTGTGTTATGCCACGTGTGTATAAGCGAAAAATTGGCTCCCGCGCCTACAAAAATTATATAGATGAGAAATTGAAACAGGCCCTTGAAGAAATTAGGAGCAAGAACATATCTTTACGCCTTGCTGCCGAAAAATATGGCATTCATCGAAACACTCTATGGTTAAAGATAAAAGGAAAACATCAAAATAAACACGGTCAACAAAAAGTCTTCTCCGATGAAGAAGAAAATATATTTGCTGTACACATTATTACAATGTCGACATTTGGGTTTCCCATAACTACCTTTGACCTTCGCTGTATTGTAAAATCCTACTTGGATCGCCAGGGAAAAAATGTTAAATGTTTTAAAAAGAACTTTCCGGGACCCGATTGGGTGAAATGTTTTTGAAACGTCACCCACAACTAACCCAGAGAATTGCTCAGAATATATCGCATGCTAGAGCCGCTACTGATGAAGACATTATAAACAACTTCTTTGATCATTTAGAGGTCGAACTTCGTGATATTCCCCCTTCTAATGTGTGGAATTATGATGAGACAAATTTGGTGGATGATCCAGGATTGTCGAAAATCATAACTAAAAGAGGTACAAAGTACCCCGAAAGGATAAGAAACTCGTCCAAGGCCTGTACCTCTTTAATGGTGTGCGGAAACGCTGAGGGTAAATTAGCTCCACTATATATCAATTATAAAGCTAAAAAAATGTGGGATACGTGGACTGAAAATGGCCCTCTTAATGCTCGATACAATCAAACATGCTCAGGGTGGTTCGACTATAAAATTTTTGAAGATTGGTTTTTGAGATTGTTACTGCCAATTCTTAAAGAGCCAGAAGGACCCAAAGTCATCATAGGCGACAATTTAAGTTCACACTTAAATTTACAGGTCATTCAAGAATGTGAAGCCAATAACGTCCGTTTTATTGCGTTGCCGCCTAACACCACCCATCTTCTCCAGCCATTGGATGTGGCATTTTTCCGTCCCATGAAAGAAAAATGGCGAAGAATTCTAAACGAGTGGAAGGAAGGTGCCCACGGTAGTAGGTTTTCTTCGGTGCCAAAGGATGAATTCCCAAGGCTTTTAAAAGAGTTGATGAACAAGCTAGAAGAGCGCGGAACACAAAATTTACAATCCGGTTTTAGGAAAACGGGAATTCATCCCTTAAATCGCCAGGAAGTATTAAACCGCATATGCAGCCGTGTTGTCACTGCTAATAATGAAATAGCGCAAGCTGTGAGTGAAACCTTCATTGAACATCTAAGTAAAACACGAGCGGATGCAACAAAGACAAGTGTAAACAATAGATCTTGTATTTTCAAATAAAACACTGGATTTCCCTCATAACTTCTTTATTACATTTTAGTACTTAGGATTACGACACAAACATGTGTATCGTGCGAGCGCACGGTACCGACTGACTGCGGCGGGCGCCTCACTCACCAACTTATCTCCCGTAACATTCTATCGCCTCTGTCATAAAAACCATGCATTATGAATAATACAATCTGACATATACATAAACCATAATTTGTTAATCATAACAATACACTATATAAACAAGGTACTCATAAAAATCATAACACAAGACAAATAAAAAGAAAAAAACAATTGAACGTACCACCTGGAAAGAGCATCAGCAGTTCTGACTTTAACAGCGATAATGCTGTAGAATCAGTGAACTGTGACTCTCAGCCTTCTTGCTCAGGTACAGCAATGCAACGGAAAATCAGAGTCAATAGTTCATCGTCTGATACCAGTAATGATGAAAGTGAAGTTCAGTACCAAGAGAGTGACGACAGCCCGTGGGATGAAGATTTCCATACCGACGACGAAAATTTCACCAAAAGAATATCAAAAGAATCCGCAGATGTGGACAAACAAATTGGAAAATATGTTGTTGTAGAATTCGAAGGCAAGTATTTTCCGGGAAAAATAACAGAAATCTCTCCGTCGGGGGCAATGGTTAATGTGATGGCTGCCGCGGGAAAACAGTGGAAGTGGCCCCTAAAAAAGGACGAAATATTTTACTCCAACAGTGAAATTGTTATGAGCATTAATCCACCGGTACAGCGAGGAAAAGGGGCGTTATTTGACATCCAAGAACTAAGCAGTTTACTCGAATAATGTTTATATGTCATCATAAGCAGCTAGAGCATAACAGGTTACCTAAAAATGTTTAGTTTTATTTTTCTCTTGTGTTTTGAAGTTATACACCATGGTTGGTATAATAAATGTTCTTTTTGCATTCAACTGGTGAAATTTTCCTGGCCCTATTATCCTACATAGATTTTTTTTTCACTTCTAACGTCATACACGACTTAAATAATGTATAGCACAGGTGTTACTTTGTGCCAGAGTTGAAATATAATTTAGTAAACGGACGAAATCTTGCTGTTACAAAGTAACCCCGACCAAAGGGGTTAGATTGTGACACTTATTTTTCAAAATATCTGGTTTTCTATTAAATCGTTTGCAAAGAAAAAAATAGAGGTTAGTTAGGAATAGTTTAGAAGTTCATTCATACAACTAAAGTTGCGATTACATTAAAAACCTCCGATTAATTTTGAAAAACCCTTTAAAACTGTCACAAAGTAGCCCCACTTTACGGTATTTCAATAGTTTCAGATATATTAATAAATAAATAAAAAATATATACCGGGTGCGTCTCAAAAGAGGCTCATCCCTATAACTTTTTATTTTTTCAGATAAAAAAACGATATTTGGTAGGGGAGATCGGGGCAAGTTGGCGAAGTAAAATACAGAAGGCTCCTGTAGTGTAACAACCCAAATTCGTCAAGAAAGTTGAAGAGGTAATATTTTGACCAACTGTATAACAAACAATTTAAATGAAAGAAAGGAACCTACGTTGTGTTAGATATTTTTTTATTATGATTACCTCGGATGCGCCTCGACAGATGCAATATTTTGGGAAATTTGAGGAGAATAGGTTATGTAAATAAAACGCTAAATTTGTAAATAGCCCTACTTATTTTATTAAATGAAATGAATGGAGTGCCGTACTCTGCCTGGAATTCACATGTAAAAGAGCACGGCAGAGAAAACCATGATCACTATTCCAGAGAATCTAACTATGCTGTTCTAACTTAAATAATAGAGAAATAATAATATAGAAACTGTCCTCATACCTAGGTTTATAGTTTAATACATTCAAAACATGCCACATTTATATCGTTCAAAACTGAAGAGTTTTTTGTTAGTTTAACGGGTTGGTATAATTGGAACGAAGTCCCTTGTTGCGGAATCGACGCTAAAGTTGAAGGTTTGGTGCCAATATCTTATGATTTAATAAATTGTAAGTTATTCTATGAATTATTTTATTTATTGTTTTTGTTTGCCCTTATACGAGCTAAGATATTCGCCCATGCAAGGTCGAAAATTGTTAGTACACTCAATAAGGCTCTTATTCTCACAAACCACAAACATCGGCACGAAGGAACAGTAAACGATTTTATTTAGATTAGGTACTTTTAAACTGAAATTATTTACAGCATAAATAGATTCCATTAAATGCATACACATGTTATATATTGTCTTTGTCAGCTCTAATGAATAATGAAAAAGCTTTAGAACAGAATTACAACAAGAAAACAAAATAATATGATTTAGTTAACATTAGTTAAATAATGAGAAAACATTTACTTTACCTTTAATAACATTCTTTGTCACAGAACTCAAGAACCAAAATAATATCAATGCGTCTCGAATGGTAGTCTAAAAGCTATTATCTAACAACTATCATCTCCGCTCGTCGCCTGATTTCCCTCTCCCTAGTTTGTCAATAATATTTTAAAAATAAATAATTTTGTTTATGTATACAGAGTGTCTTAAAAATGAATGTTTTGAATTTAAATAAATATGTCTATTTTTAAATAGGCGGTTCATCTCACTCCAAAACACGAACTAACGGGTTTAAAAAAAGATCCCATTTCATCTGTTAGTACATTTATTCAGGTACGTAATGAAACATAAAAAACAAAATAAAAGTGTACTCTTGAAAAAATATAAAGAAAAAAATAAAAAAGTGCATTTTCATCAACTTGCCCCAGTACCGGGGTAGGATGACGAGCCTTGTAACGGGAATTATTTGGTATTATTGTTGTTATTATTTTATTTACTATTGTTAAATACGGTAAATGCGATGGGCAAGTGCGAGGGAACCATTAAGGTTTATACCCCGCAAAAAATGTGGTATTCTATTAAAAGATAGGTAGGTTTTTACTGCCGTATGAATATTCGCAGTTTGATGCCGATCAAATAGCCACGAGGGTGTTAGTGAATAATATAATAAATATATTAGTGAGCTGTATCCCGGTATTAGGTGAGATTTTCTGTTTGCTAATCGCAAATTACCTGTTACCATAATTAAGGGATTTTTTGTATTAGATCGAGCCTGAAGCACTAGACTGAATAAAGCTGAGTCTGATAAACCCCCACAATCCATCCCATTACATCTTGGCGCCCAACGTGGGGCAGAGATGGGTATAGAACGATCACCAAAGACAAAAGAAGCAGGGTACCAGTTACGCAATCGAACGGTGTTGTCCGATCAACGAGGGACAACATCCAGCACTGGAGCAATTCCCAAAGTTAGAAGCGTTGAAAAAAACAACTCAACTAGCCCAGAAAGAACGCTGGAGATGGACACCGACAACAACAGAAGGAGATCTATCGCAAGTCTGTATGATACATCAGCGAGACAAGGTAGGAGAGAATTTTTTTCACCTATTCCAACTCCTACGTGTACGACTTTCGAAAATATTATCACCAACAGCCCAGGAGGCTTACAACTTGCCAGTGAGGCCTGTAACTTTTTACCGAACCATCAAAGAGCATCTACAAGTGATTTAGTTCGGGAACAAGAAAAATCTTCATTTTCAAATGAACCGACAAAAAATAAAAATGAACAATTTTTTTCTTTAAGTAAAAATAATAATTACGAAGAGTTAATTAGTTTATTTTCAAATGTATTACAGCGGGTAGAAAATAGAATTATAAGTAATATTACTCAGATAAATCAAAATAATGTAAACTTACCTAATACCGAGACAGTGTCTTTTTAATAGTAGAAACTTGGGTGTTTCTATATATACAATAAAATTCCTATTTTTGACAATCAAATAATTCAACCAATGGAATTTTTAGAACAGCTTGAATATTTTTACAATACCTCTAATATATCTTTCGAAAGTTTTAAATATGGAATTAGGAATAACTTTAAAAACGAACCAGCATTGTGGCAACAAGCTTATTTACATACATTTAACAATTTTGAGGACTTTAAACAAGCTTTTAAAGAGCATTTTTGGTCTGAAACAAGACAATTAGAAATAAGGTTGTCGCTACAATCAGCACTGTATTGCGAGGGATCATTTGTAAATTATTTTATGAGACTAGTATCTCAATCAAAACACCTAGCACCTCCCTATTCGGACGGTTTATTAATTAAAACTATTGCTAGGGGTTTACCACCAAACATTTCGGCAGTTTTGGTAGGTGTAAATACTCTAAACGAAGCAATGGATCGTCTTAGACAGGCCGATTATTATTTCCGAAAAGATAGCGACAAAACAAAAATAAATACATTACCAAATACGGAAAATCCACGGTGGCGGGCGAATTCGTCAAATAGTTCGCAAATTGCAAGTCATCGTTCGTACCACGTCGGCGTCGGCCGAAACGGTACTGGAACAGGCGGCGTCGCGCACGGCGACAAGCGCAGTCAACGCGTCTCGACTGTAAACATTGACCGGAGCGTCGATAGCGTCGAAGGCGTCGCGGTAAATACGAGGGGCGATCGAGGAGAATTTACGGAGCGGACGAGAAGAAATTACGGGGCGATCGAGAAGAAAGACTATCGGGAAACGAAGCGGACACTCACAATTGTTAAGCCCGGTTGGGAGTGAAAATAAAAACAGGGCAGTAGAGTGCTTAAATAACACTAGGGAAGACTTACTGGAGGAATGTGAATTTGCACACGATAAATTTAATTGCAAAACGCCGATAGTTGAAATTAATTTATACGGATTATTTTTTCCAGCTTTGATTGATACCGGTAGTATGATTTGTGCTATTAGTGATGAAGTTTGGGGTCAGCTGGGTATTTCCATAATATTATTCCAACGTTTTCTTGTACCGGTGTAAAAGTAAGCGGTGCTTTTCCATCTAAAGCAAAAAAATAAAATATCAAATACAGCTAACGTTTATCATAGCTAAAGAGCAGTTTAATTTTGAATTTTTAGTCATACCGAATTTAGTGTATCCTGTCATTTTAGGCAGTGATTGGCTAAGGGTGGTTAAAGCCC